TACAAATGCAGTATGTAGACATACATATTTCATTTTAAGTTTTTATTATAAACAACTGATGGCAACTGCTTCCTGTGTAAAAGCTGACTCTGGAAATTTCTGTAGTTGTTAAAATAAAGGACTTATTTTCATTTTCTCTTCCTTAATTCTTACGAAACACCCACAGGATAACATCTCCCTAGATTTTACAGATGACGCACAGAGAAAGCAAACACTCAAGGCTTTGCTGAGTTTTAGGTAAAGCCAAGACTAGAACTCAAGTTGCCTGTTACTAAATTTGCACCCATTCCCCTTACTTACAACAAACCATATCCAGCATTCTGTGCCCTCTGTGACTCCCTATGAGCTAAGAAAAATCAAAAAGGTGAAAGTGATCCATCTTTCAAAACTTATGAAAAGTGCAAACTAAATGTCAAAATCAGTTGTGCTTAGTTAGATCCATTTTGTCAACTGTTTTATCTTCTACTTGAACATAGCCACTTTATGTTCCTGCACAGATGGTAAGAATCCTCAAAAGCAACATGTGTACAAGTTTTGGAACTTTGGAAATTATTGCATTCAATAGCCCATATAGGGTCAGGGAGATGGCTCAGTGGAATAAGTGCTTCCCTGGCAAGTGCAAGTTCAATCCCCAGTTCCGCAAAAGAAAAAGGGAAAAAAAAAAAAAAAAAGTCCATATAATTCAAGGGTCTTCATATAGATAATCATTCAAGATTCAGTCTCTGCCTGACATCTGTCAATTCCCTTTCAGTAGTTCTAGAAGTGCCCAATATAACTACACAAAATGAAGCTCCACTTTGTTGTTTAGAGATAAAAACACAGAATACACAATCAAAAAATATCAATTCTATATTGGAGGTTCACTATCTACTCGTTCTATTCTAAAACATAAAACAAATATCAAACTGTTCCTACACCTTCATTTTCTACCATACAAAATGGTAATCACCAGTAACTGTCCTTTCTCACACTAGTATGAATCAATAAGAATCAAATTAAACAGACTTACGAAAAGATTTTAAAGATAAGAAAACACTTCACTGGATTAATGTTTGCTCTTTATCAAAATAAAAGAGGCAGAATAACTTTAATCTTACTGTTAAGGACTAGGATACAAGTAAATCACTAAACTTTCAGAACCTCAGTTTCATCCTTATACAGTAGGGGCAGTAATCTATGCTTAATTTTGAAAACACCAAAATGAAACAATGCCTAATAACTACTTTATAGTCAAGCACAACACCACACACCTGTCATGCAAAGTAATCAGGAGGCTGAGAGTGGAGGATTATAAATTTGAGGTGAGCCTGAGCAACTTAAACCAAACCCTTTCTCAATTTTAAATAGATACATACATAGATAGGTAATAACAAAGACTTCACTGGGACCACTATCCTTTTTCATACTCATTATTATACTCATTTTTATAGTTAATACAAAGACTTAACTGCCTTCATCTAACAGTCACAGTAAACTTCTAGGGTTCTGGCAATGAGTTAATCCAAAGCCTATCCCTCAGAAGTGTCTACTAAAACAGTGTTCCCCAAATACAAAAGTGTACAACAAGCTGGAAAAGTAGGGGGCAGCTAATTGAAGAAGTTCATATTTATCCTTACTGTAATTCACCTCCAAAGCTCTATCTGATCCATTCATTTCAGCCTCTAGAATTCTGATTCTCATCATGCACCAGATCTGCATAATAGGCAATAGAAAGTCTTTATTGCACATTGTGGACAAACATGTTAAATGTAAATGGGTCAGAACCAAGGACAGCACCCATGGTGCTAGCTATTTCCCTGTAGGCTACTACTAATTCATTCATTAATGACACCAACACTAAGCTCAGTAACCTTCTGAATATTACTTTCAGTTCATATCTCTCTAGACCACAACAACATCTGAGAAAACTGTCCCATAAAGATACAATCACCTGGGAAAAAAAGAGAAAAAAAAACCAAAAAACAGATACTATCACCTTTCTATCATTCATTCTTCTTTTGACCTATGCTATTACTTTATAGTAATCTTATCCAAAATGACATGTGTATACACTACAGTAATCCTTGCTGATGTTTACTACATTTTGGCACCAGCTGCTTTATGTACCCTTTTAATATATAAAATCCATGTTTATTTTACAAAAACTGACAAAATATATACACAAACACACCCTTCTAGGGCTTATTATACAACTCTACATCTTTTCAGATACTGATTAACCATTGAAATTGAGAATTCTGTTAGAATATAACATCATATTTAACAGTTAATATCCCCCAAATATACATCTATAGTTCTTAACATGAGGAAGTCTGTTCATCAGTTGTCTCTGTATCACACAGAAAACCAAATGAAGCTGTACAAGCTGTACAGCGTGCGCCTGTGCCCAAAAGCTCTGCACACTGCTTTTCAATTCCCAGTGTTCACCAGTTCTAACAGCCACCACCACAGGACTTACTACTGTAAATGGCAAACATTTTTTAGGCCTATTTATCTGCCAGATTTCTAAATATATTCACATGTTTCTTGACTATAACTTT